TCATATTCAGATACAGAAAACCAATCTCTTGTACTTCTAATTGGTTTTTCATATGAAATTTGATTACAACAACATTTCTTTTCTTGATCGAAATTATTTCCCGTAAAAAGATCAGGTCCACGACCAAGTTGAGCACCACAATCAGAATAACTTCCAATTGCATATTGTGGATCTTTTATACGACTTAAAATAGAATTTTCAATAGTCCCATTTTTTAATGAAAAAATAAAGGTATCTTCGCAACTTATCCAATTTTTAACTGATTTATCCCAACCGATAGGATTATATCCTCCAATAATTTCATCTGTATCTTTAACCTTCATAACTGCAACAAGATTTGCTTGTTTATCACATAAATTCCAAAATGATTCTGAAGTAAAACCTTCTCTAGTTCCACGAAGGAGTAATTTAAATTCATATGGATTATTGCCATCCGTATAAGGTTCAGCTTTCTTATCAATCCATGATGCAATTTCTGCTGCGTGCGTTTTAGTAATCACTGCTGAAAATGGAGAACGAGGTGGAAGAATAGTTGATTTTATCGAACGATTTGGAGTAAGAAATTTTCTTAATATATCTTCCCAAAGTTGTTTTTCAAGAATTTTTTTATACGGTTTCACTTTATCAATAATATCTTCATTAGACATTTGAAAGTAACGAATGAGAGGTAAACAATTTTGTAAAGTAGTCTTTAAGGCTAAACAATGTTCACGAGACCAATCCTTAGATTCAGGTGGTAAATTAGGATTTTGAGCGATTCCCCATCTAATAACATGATCCCAAATTTTTCCTTCTTCCATTTGTAAATCATCTCGTTCAAGAAGCGATACTAATGAATTTTCTGGAAATGTGATGAAACCTTCTGATTCAAAAACCTTATTTGGATATTTTGCTACAATATCGTTGCACCATTTTTGTAATTCTTGAAGTTTAGCATTTTCGAAACATGTTTTATAAACATGCGCGAAGCGTAAACGAAGCCAGCTAGCCTTAACCTCAATTAAATGAGTTTCAAGGTATTTATATAATTCTTCAAGAAGAAGATCACAAGCCACTAACATAAGTTCAAAAATAAATGACGTGTCGAGACTTTCCAGCAAAATCACTCCGCCATAAATATACCTTTTATTAAAAATTAAAATATATTAGTTTTTTTTTTTTTAGTATTTTTTTTTAAATCAAACTAAAAATAAATCATTATATAACTTACTTAATAATAATTTCAAATTGTTGAGCAGAGATGTGTTTCAAATTAATTGTTTTAATACTATTTTTACCTCTATGAATTTTCGTTAATTCATTACGAAAATATAAAGATCTATGTCGTAGAACAATTGAATGTGCCTGAAAAGCTTTAGTGTTTGAAGGTTCACCGGCATTAATTATTACATTAAAATCATCTTTGTCATCAAGAATTTCAAGATAATTGTCTGAAAGTTTATCAAGGAATTTTACTGCCATCTTTAATTTTCAAGATCTGTGGAATTAATTTTCAGAAATAGGTTTTTAAATATATAAAAATATCGATATGTCTATCGTGATATTTTTGGAAATTTGATGTTACCCCCTTATGTTATAACCTTATTTAGAGATTAGTTGTTGGGAATCAGGAAAGGCAACATATAAACGTGGATTCCTCCTGAAAATACTTCGCCGCTTATAACGATAACTTTTTAAATCACAAACCATTGTTGATGGAGGGAATTAATTTATATATAAACTATACTGCTATATGTAGTCTTAATATTCAAATCTACACATGCACATACGTAGAGTACGTGTAAAGTATATGCTAACTAATGTTCATTGTCGAAGCGAAGCCAGGTATGTATGCGCAATGATAACAATAGCGAATATTGTTGGCCCTGCAGGGGAACAGACACGTAAGCACTGAATATATTTTATCATATGGTTTAAATTATTGTTCGGAGCGAAGCGGAGGACTTTCTCTATGCGCTTTTTGATGACTACGAATTTCTGATAAAAATATCGAAAACGTGGTTTTAGTATTTTCCCCATACACGATGCATAATTATCATATGTAAGGGCTGATTATTAAATTAATTGCATATTAGTAATAATAATATAACAGCACATATACAGTAACGGTAACTAGTACTTATCGTTATAGTTATTAATTATGTAGCCCTTTTAGTGTATGTACTATAGTGATAGATCATTCAACTTTTATACGTATCAGTAAGGACTTTCAAAGTTATAATTTCTTTTAAATTAAAAAAATTCTCAAATTATATGGTAACAAAATTCAAACTCATGTTAGCTAAATTTGCATCTAAAAGATATTCTACAAAAAATTTGTTATCACCTTAAAGGTTCGATTGACTGACTTTGCCTCAAACGCCCCCCTCTATAACTTGCAAGGTGCACGAACGAGAACATATAATAAATAGCCAATAGATTTGATCTTAAATAATGAAGATTCTAAGTTTATTATCAATATAGTATTAATTCTCGATGTGAACGATGCTACCATATTACTGGATTAAACGAGAACGATTCAGAATATTCATTCAATCACGTATTATTATTTACAAGTTTTTTTCTTGCTGTTTCATATCCAGAAAAAGAAAAAATGTGAGAACAAACGATTTCCATATACCTATGTAGGTAATCAATGAGTCGGTTTCGCAAAAATTACAGGTGTTTTTCAAAAACGTGTGAACAACGATTCCATATACTTTATATGGAAATTAAAAGAATCTTGGAAATATCTTTGTGACCTCTGCAGATCACAGAAACGTGAGAATTGGTGATTTTGTAGATTTTAAAATTTTACTGATTTCAAAATAAATAATCTAGAAACCTTCGATAATCATCACAGAAATCATGAAAACTGGAAATATCATGATTCTCATAACACATACCTTCTTGAAACAGCTATAGAAGCCATGATGATCAAAAAAATCAGACTGGTGCTAGTCCTGGAAATCCGGAAAAGTGGGGATCATCGTGAACTCCCATAGTTTATTGTTACAGTTTTTTGGGTAAGATAAAAATAACGATAATAGCTTTGGCCAAATCATTTAATACTTTTTTTTTTTTTAAACAAAAGAATCACCCCTAGAGTCTTTGAGTTCAGGTTGGACCATTGTACAATGGTCACACGCCTACACTGCTATTACTTCAATGAATAGGTGATTCATCAGATAAAATCTTAATAATTTGCTAAAGTGATGAACTTATAACACTACTCTTATCAGTTATGAATTTAACTGTAATTTATGATTAGATCAGATCAAATCAAATCCCTAGTAGAAAATCTAATATTACCTTAATAAAGTGATTTCTCTAAAATATAATTTATAAACAAAAAGCTGCAGAAAATAGTGCTACACATAGATGGAAAGATTAGCTTCAATCATACTTGAAGAAAGTTTTCAAGAATATGATGTACTGTACGTTATATAGATACAAGCTTTAACCAGTTCAAGTATTTAAAAATTTTTAGCAATGAATCATCTAATCGTATCGTGTCTAGATGTTTAGCCCAACTAACTGGCTTTAATACCAGTATCCCATATGTAAGAATGATTAACGGAGGTATTGATAGATAAAATAATGAATGAACAATATCATGAAATAATATGTATATAATGTGAAATAGTATATAATATTAATAATAAAATGAATAAAAAAAATAAAAGTTTGCTCGTTCACTGAGATAAAAAAAAAAAAAAAATGATTGAAATAATGTAAGAACCTGAAACGAACCCGAAATGAAACCAAAGTTTAGAAAAAGTGCACTTAATATTTCTAGCCAACTAATTTGTAATATTAAAGGAATACAGTACATCTTAAAATAATTTAAGGCAAAGGTATAGTATATTTCATATAACTGTATAAGAAAAATAGTGATTATAAAAATTTGATTATATAGTGTAAATATACCAATTCCCCAACATTACAAGGCAGAAATAGAACCAATTATCTATATTCTTCTATCACTTTCAAACAATTTTCATATTTATTTATCTACATGAATAACTTTTTACTACAGTATGAAATTTATATTAAAAATAAATTAAGTTATTAAGAAATATTGTATTTAATATTATTAAATCTAATTTATTAAAATACGTATATTTAATTTATAATAACAATAAAAAAAAAGTTTACCTATTTTTCATACAAATTTTGCATTATAATTATATTTATACTTTATAATGCAGTCAAACTACCATATAAGCACCATCTATATAAGCATATCATATTTACGTATAAGCAAATTGATTTATTGAACAAACTACCATTAAGTACAGAAGATATAAAAATAATTGTCTACGTAAGCATATTCTAAGGTGGTTAAATAATAATTGATTTAATAAATTTAATTTGATTTAAAAAATTAAATAATACTAAAAGTTCAAATTCAAGAATTTTATTTTAGATTAAATTCAAATTAGATTATTTAATTTGACCAAATTTAGATTAGTTAAAATATAAACATCAATAAGTAATACAATAAAAATTTGGGTTGTAAATAGCCATTATTCATATTAAATGTCACTGCTGAAGCTGGAAATTAGGGATTTCAATTTAAAATACAGTGAAACCTTCATAAATGCATGCTCTTGTGACTGAATTTTAACAACGTGCATTTAGAGAACAATAAGAAAAAGTACATTTATAGAGGCCATGCATATATTTGGACTAGAGGTTGAGCGTGCATTTAGAGAGGGTGTGCATTTATAAAGATGCATTTATAGAGGTTTCACTGTATAATCTACCAAAATCCGCTTATACTCTTTATTATCAAAATTAATCTAAATGTACCCTCAAAAATTTTTTGAAAATTTTGTCATAAAATATTTAAAATTTCTAGTTCAGACGTGACACTAATTAAGGGCTTGACAATACAGTGTAGAATTTTCACACATTTTTATTAACGTATTGGTAGTCATTTTGAATAATTGAAATATTTGAGATTATATAAAACTTGAGCATTACAAATTTGAAATATCTAGAAAAAACACAAGGATTTATTTGGATACTTTATGTAAAGTAGCAGAAAGATGCGGGGCCATAGGCTTATCGGCCGTTGACATATCAAAAGTATAGGTTAACACATTGTTTTGGGGGTCTACCTTCAAAATTCTTTTTAAAGAAAGATAATTAAAATTAAAATTTTTACATATTGTAATTATTGACCTGAAAAGTTTTTTACCTTTTGAACTCAGCTACATGAGGCGGCTATATATCAATGTGTCATATGGTTATTAAACGATATATTTTTATTATGAAATTACAAAAAAAGTACATACTTTGGCTGTAGAAGCGCGTGCAATATCCTTCGAAGTTAAGGTCAAGGTTGTCCCTTCTAATCGGCCTTCTTCAATAGACGCAACCCCTAAACGTAATATAATCAATAACATGATATTATAAAATAATGTAATGGTTGACTCGTTTACCGGTTGGTTGAGCCAAAACTAATTCGACTTTATCAGTCATTCCCGGCATTCTAATATACCCAACTTCACTATGAAAATTAGCACTATTTTTCGCGGGATTCCACGTTTTTTGTCTATTAAATTATATATAATTATTATAAACAAATGAAATGCCTAAACCCATAATTTATCAAAGAAAAAAATTACATACTTATAGTATAACCATCCCCTTCCCGCTTCATCAGGTGATATATCCAGTTCTTCATCATACACAAAATCCTTGATTCCTTCAAAATGACCATTACCTTTTCCCTTCCAGGTACCAAATAAGAATTCCAAAGGGTGCGCGGGTTTAGCTTTCAATGAATCTTCAGCCACTACAATGTATTGACGTGATCGTTTAGAAACATAAATGTCATTAAATTTTAATGGAACAATGGAATCTAATATATTTATTAATTGTTTTCTAGATGAATTAATGGACCGAAAAACAGAAAGCATTCTCACGTACTGATGAATAATTATGTTTTGAAAAGGCTATTCTGACATTAGCAATATTTATATTAGTGATTATCCCAGTTTATGGTGATTATCTTTTCTAATTATGAACTTAACGGTAACAGTAAAGTATCCTAAATAATCAAAAGTCCGCGATCATTTGCAGAACCAATACGTATTACCCATTTTTCAAATTTCTATTTTTAGTATCTCCGATGATCGCCAATATACACATTAATGTGTGCCAGGTGACGATTTTGATTGGCTAAGAACGACGATCAAAAAATTAGGCCGGAATTACTCATAATTTTACTAATGAAATCGCAGCC